AATTTTTTTTACCTGCCATTCCTTTAATACAAAGAAATTTTGATACAGGTAAACTTTTTTGAGCTCTTTTTCGGAAAACAACTTTAAAATTATGATCGATTAAAGAAATTAAACTTAATAATAATGTTCTAGCATTGAAGCAAAAAAATTTTTTTACAAACTTCACTTCTAAAATCTTTTGATGTTTTGAGTTTTTCAGAAAACTTACCATTCCTATCTGCTGAGTAATTTTCATTGATTATATTCCAGTAAATTATTAAAATGGAATCCACATTTAAGAATTCAGAATAATAAAATGCTAGAATGCAGGGTAAAAAATTACTAGCATTCGAATTTAAATTATAAACCTATTTATCCATTATCTAAAACTGAAAAATGAAATAAATTAGCCCACGCTTAAAAGAAGTATATCTGATCAGAATGTCTGTATTATATGACAATAATTTCACTAAATCGGTAAGTAAAAATTGCTAATAAATAAATGGATAAATTTATTTTAAATTAAATATGAGGCTTTTTTTAATTTACTCGCAAATAAAACAAAATTAACAATCAATAAGATGGAAAATGATTGTGGCATCAAATTTTTGATAATCATAAAGTTCTGCTTAATAAAGAATGCAAATCATTTTATTCATGGCAAAAAAAATTATGAAATTATAAATCATAAAACTTTTTCAATGAAGTAGTATTTATCTATAATGCTAATAAATCACCAAATTATTTTTTAAATTACAAAAAATTTCACAATATACTTACAATTTTATACGTGTGAATTATTTTATTCATAATTGAAAAGAAAAATTTGCAGAAACAAAAGAATGAAAAATATAATATGTATAAAATTGTATTTATTTGAATATTAAATAAAATCCGTAATTTTTTTAATATATTGCTAGTAATATGGAAAGCTTAATGTTAAACTATAAGCTTAAAATATACAGAAACGGAATAAAACGACGAAAAAAATTTAAGTCAATTTAGCTAGACGTCTTCTTTTCTAAGTTGCAATTTTTTTCCATCCCTTCTTTTTTTTTCCGATTTCAAAAATTTGTTTCTAATTAAATGCGAGTGAAGCTAATTTAGCACTGTTTGATTTGCAAAGCTAAACATTAAAATAACACGAGAAAAAGAAAAAAATTAAAATGAATAGTAAATTGGACTATTTTAATATCAAATTTTAGCAATATCAAACAGTAAATTTAAAAATGTGAATAATACTGTGTGTCTATATTTTATAATTTATAAAACTTGAATTAAGAATCAATCAACTTTTATAATTTATAAGACTTGAATTAAAAGCCAATAAGTTTTTATAATTTATAAAATTTGAATTAGGAATAAACAGTATTTCGGCAAATTCATTTAATAATCCGGAAAAGTTCTTTCCAGTAAATAACAACAAAATTTCATCGGACATAATCGACAGTATATTATTTATATACAAATATATTACGGAAGCTAATGATATCATTTGAGAGAATGATTGTTGAGGGAATCTGTTATTTCCAATAATTTCCGGTAAACAAAAATAAATTGAATGGCTAACACTTAAATGATAACATTAATTGATAAATAAAATAAAAGAAAAATTATTTTGCAAAATAATTTCTTATCAAAGAAATTTTTAAATTCATTTGAAAATATTAAAGAATTTTTAAAAAAATTTCTCAAATACTTCAAAATTTTTGAAGGTTGTTAAATTTTTCAAGAAATATAAGTACAAGGTAGAGAATGCTATAAAGTTTTTAGTAAATTTCATCCTCGATCTGTTTTTCAATTTTTATTTTATGCTGAAAAAAGACGTAAAAAAGATTTAAAAATTTGCACTTACTTCAGCTGAAACTTCTTAAACATTTGCAACATTTGAATGTTGAAATTCCAAAAAATATTTGAAAAAAAAATAGTTCAGTTAAAAAAAAGAACTTATTCAGCTGGAACTTCTTGAGCATTTTAAACATTTTGAAATTTCAAAAAAATTTTGAAGAAAATAGTTCCGTTCAAGGATATTCAAAAATTTCTTCCCTAAAAGCAAAAAGAAAAAAGAATGAGAAATAAACATTTCTCATTCGTTTTTCTTTCTTAAATCTTCAAATATTTGATTAAAGTACAAGGTAGAGAATTTTTAATTGATAAAGAGATACAGTAATGCATCTGATCGAACTAAATGGTTTTTCTTCTTTATCGCTTTTGACCTTTTTTTAAATTCTAAAATTGCGCTTTTATCTATCTTTTATACATGGTAATTAGTAAACAACTAATTGGTTAGCAAAATGAATTCATCAATGGATTATAAAATGCATTTTTATTTCTAATCTGCTTTTTGATTGGTCGAAAAATCTGGAAGAAATATGAAAGGATAAGAAAAGAAACTTTCAAAAAGTGAAAAAAACGATAAGAAAACAAAAAAAGAAGACAGATAATTAAATTGAGTTAAATTTATTGCTTAAAATATACATTTTATGTTATATGTAACTAAACATATTTGTTTAAAGAAACAAATAAATAAACAAAAAAAAAAACTACTTAAACTTTTAGTGCTACAATAACTAACATCAGGTTTTAATTTTACAATTTTTTTCAAATTTTTATTCTTTCTTTGCTTTTTTTTCCCTTTTTCATTTTTTGTTCTTTTCTGAAATAAAGTCAAAATAATGATATCATTAAAAGTGTTTGAAGTGCTTCAAATTAAAACTGTACTATAAATCTCATTTATTCAGAATATCTTAAACTTTTCGCCTAGACAATCCTAAAAATATCAGAAAAAAAGGAAAGAGCAAAAAAATTTTGTAATCAGTCCTGAACAACACTATCATCATTACTTCATTTAAAATCCCATATGTTTAAATTTTTATTTTTATTCGTTATAGACAAAATGCATACATGTGTGCATGTATATATAAAAGTAAAATTTTTCGTCCATTTATCAGTTAAATGAGCATTTTATTCAAATTTTCAAATTCAAGATATTTCATTATAAATTTAGTTATTTCAGTGTGAGATTTTTGCAATTAGTAAATTTTTTAAATAATTATAATTATACCAATTAAAAACATTTTCTTATCTTTTTTTATTTCTCACATTTTATTATTGCTTCGTTTTTTTTTTCAAATCACTTCTTTTTTTAGACACTTATTAAATCTTTGCTTTTTTAATTTTATTTTTTTTGAAATTTTATTTTTACTTAATCAATTGTGCATTAAATTTTTCACCGTACAACGATTTTATATATATGTCACATTACTTTTAATTCATTTTACTATTTTATAATTTCGATATTTGTTTAATTAATAATATTGTATCAGTTTTTTATTTTTAAAATTTCATGAACAACTTACAATATTTTTTGATTTAATTAATGAAATTTTACCAAATTTTATTATTTTAGTTTATTAGCCCTTCAACTGCCAATACCTCAGTTTAAAAATTTTACCAGTGATTATTGGTAATATTTCGTTAATTTTCCTATTTTAATAACCCACTTATCCTCAATTAGTAATATGTTTTATCTCATGACGATCTTGAAAATTTTCTTCTCCTGTTGAATGATACATTAATTTCATTTCTGCAAAGCTATTTTATTAATTTCTTCATTTCTATGATTTGGCTTATTAATAGTGCCCTAATCAACCTTAAAATTTGATATATTTAAATCTCATGCAAAAAATTACTTCCATTTTTATATATTTTTCCAGCTGTTTTAAAAGGAAAACAGGTAAAAATCTACAAAAAGAGAGGTGACACTTTTAAACTATAAGAGTGTTAGATTTACCGTTTTCCTCCTAACATTTCATTTTAATATTATTTAGCTTCAAATTTTAGGCATAAATAATTTTTTCCAACTAATTTCAAAATTTTTTCGATTTACTATGATTTTTTGACAAATATTTAATTAAATTTCCTAAAAAAAATTTCATAGTTCGTTTGTTATCAAAATTCCATCTCTTACAGATTGATAAAAAATGGAAAAATTAAATTGAAATTTAGATAAAAAATATTTGATTGGTTTTATAGGTCTATCCCAGTCAGTATTTGCTTTTCTGTCTCACTTTCTCATTCTTTAAATTATACTGGAACATAATCAAGTTAAATACAATTACTCATTTTTTTCTTCTCGCAATAACATATTTAAATAATTAAACGTTTTGTCATTTAATTACGGCTGACCTTTTAAAATCTAAATTTGTTAAATTTAGATTTCGTCATATTTATCGTAATTTGGTGACATACTACCGAAGTGTTAGGATGTGATTGCAAATAACTTATTGCAAGCTAATAGTTTAAATTTTTACAATTATCGTCAATAATTTATGCAAATTTCTAACCTTTCTGTCGTGTAAACTTTGTGACTGTATAAACGAATGTCTACTGTAGCCTAGTGTAACCTACCATAACCCTGGCTTTTTAGATGTCAAGTTACTGCTACCATAATGTTAAGCGCATGGTTGCAAATTTAGTGTAGCCAAATGTTATGAAATTATGTGATTACTCTGCTAAGTTCATGTAAATTTCTAACTTTTCTACTGGCATAAATTTGTTACGAATTTTATATATATCTGTAAATGAATACCTACTGTAGTCTACTGTAGCACTATCTTCTCCGTCAATATACTTTTTCTATGAGAGTTAACTTCGAGTTATATATTTCAATCTTTTTCATCAAGTGATTGTAGTTGTAACTTTCAGCTGATGAAAGAATTCTGAAATTAAGATACTTAAATGTGGAAATGTATTTTAAAATTAGTAATTTTTCCAGTTTTTCTTTTTAAACAATTCGAACATTTGTGCTATTTTTTAAATCATTTACTTACTATTAACCCATTGATCTTTTTAAACAATATATCTTATCGATGATTCCTGGATATTTTCTTAAAAAATTAAACAAATAGGGGAAATATGAATATCATTAGCGAACTTATTTCCATCTTTTTTTTCCAGGAAGGAAAAAGTTTAGGATTTAAGATTGACTGAATGAAATTGTTCGAAAAAAATTGCAATCAATGAAGTCTTATCATTCACTATTATTGTCTAATCACACTTTACGAATATTTTTTCTGTTATATACAATAATTAGAACAATCAATGCAATACAAGCGAAAAATATTCATGATACTACGATTGGTATTGATAAATTTGGAAATCGAAATTCAGAAAATGATGATACTGGCAATTATCATCAATCAGTGAGTACGATAACGAAAAATGGAGTATCAGAAAAAGTTGATGAATTAGTCACTGATGAAGATTTTATTTTAAATACATTTAAACAACGGCAACGACAACAACAACAACAAAATGAAAACGAGAAAAGTGTAAATAACGGAAGAAACTTCAATAACGTCATTGTTACAAGTACAAATAACACTACGGATAGTAAACGGAAACTCTTTGCTAAAACAAATTTTACTGATTTTTCATTAATCTATTCTGCAAACAATGCTGTAAACAAGAAACTTTCATTAGCAATTAATCCAATATCAAATAATTCTAAATTTTTCTCATCATTAATTAATCAATCAAATCATATTAATAGTATCAGTAGTAATAATAATAATAATATTCAATGGAAAAATTTGAATCGAAAACGGAACAATTTCAATGATCGCAACAATGATCGAAAAAAACGTTGGGCAATGAAGAATGATGACGATAAAATGAGTGGAATGGATGAATTAATTGAACGTTTAACACCAACAAATTATAATTCACCAACAATTGCATCCGATGAAATTTCAACATTATCTGATTATCATATTGATAATGATCGATTTCGAATACCAATGGAAAATATTGTTATTGTTGGTAGCGATGCAGATGATGATAATGATGATGATGTTGATATTGTTGATAATGGTAATATTGGAAGTAGCAGTAATATTGGAAATAATGATATTTTTAAAGGTACAACATATGATGATGCTGAAATAACGGATAGTTATGAACAGATGAATTCGGTTGAGGAAAATGGTAATGATGAAAATACAGAAATGGGAATTGTTCGAATTGCACCGGAAATGTTACCAAAAGATAGCGTTGAAGAAATGGATAAGCAATATGAAACAAAATTAAAACCAACCATACATTATTTGGAATCACGAACAGATGAAATGAAAAAATCAAATGAAATAATGGAAATGGAAAAAATAGATGGAAAGCAATTGGATGAATTGGAAAATTTGAAGGAAATTATGGACGAAAAATTATTAAAAATTGATATGTCTCAAACAAAAAAACATTTGCTACAAGATGAAGTAGATTTGGTGAGAATTATTGAAATTATTTAAATTTATTTCAAATTTCACAAAAAATTATAGGGAACAATACAAGAAATGAGAATTTCGGATGATCCTAATGATGCTGCAATTGCATGCGACGATGAAACTGTAAGTCTTTCGAGCAATTATCTAATATTTCAGGATATTTGTTTTTCCTTAATTTTGCCTGAAAATGCTAAAAAAAATCTGAAATAAAATTTTATTTTTTTAATTTTTTGGCATCATTTTCGAATTTTTCTGATAATAATAAATCCTTTAAATTTTCAAAAAAAATTTCTAATTGATCATATTTTAATATTGTTAGCAAAATTTTTTCAAGAATGAGAGAAAAAATGTTGAAAATTTAAAGAAATAAAAATTGTACGAAATTTGTTAAATAATTAGGTAGCTAATTAATTAAAATGTTATGCTTTTGGTTTAGTGGAAAAGACGAAAAATGAAGTCGCTGAAGGTAAAAATTTTGCTTGCATTTTTATTATTTGATTGTTTCATTTCTGTATTTGAAATTGTATAAGTGGTGTTGTTGTTTATTTGTTTTTCTTTTCTTTAGAAAAATAAGATTGATAAAGTAAATATATTCTTTGCATGTTTCGGAAAATCTGAAAAAATTTTCCGGAAAAAAATTATTACTATGTTGTGGAAAAAGTATTGTTAACTTTTTTTAATCATTTGTATTAACTTATTTGTTTAATTATTTGTAAACAATAAGTGGTTTTTTGTATGTTAATTTACCTGAATTTTATTTCTTTTTTTTTTGAAAGTATAAATTTATAAATTGTTTCATTGAATAAAGGATTTCGTTTTCAGGAAGGTAGTGGTTTGCAAGGAGAAGGAGAAGGAGAACTTCAAGAATACGGTTTGTTTCATTCGTTTTTGTCTTTCTTTTTCTCTTCTCATTTCTAACAACTGTTATTTTTAGCAGATACAGTAAGCATTTATTTAAAATTTTTGAAAAAATTAGAAATTTTACAAATTTATTCAAAATTAACAATAAGCAACAAAAGAATTTATCAGTATAACTAATTTTATGTGAAAATTTTCGAGATTTCATTTTTAATTGATAATTTTAAGCAAAAATTTTTTAAAGAATACGACAATTTTGGTATAAATGTACGTTCTTAAATGTTGCTAAAAATAACAGTTGTTAGAAAATATACATTCCTGATTTCCCATAATTTTCTAGAAATTTTTTTATTTTAATATTAGTTTAGATATTTCATTTGTATATTAATCATCTGTCACCTTGCTATAAATCTGTAAT